ACTACAAGAAATGTCTGATCTCTGTGATTGCCAACAAGGGTTTTGCAAACAAGTACTAAGTCAAAGGAGTCAAATACTTATTTTACTCATTGACATGCAAATCAATTTATAACTTTTTTGACATGCATTTTTCTGGATTTTTTTTTCCTGTTATTCTGTCTCTCACTGTTAAAATACACCTACCATTAAAATTATAGACTGATCATTTCTTTGTCAGTGGGCAAATGTTCAAAATCAGCAGGGGATTTTAGCAACTACAGTGAAGCTAAAGCCAGGGGAGGGGCAATACTGTTCTCGGCTCACATACACAGCACACACATCAAATGAAGCTGGTAGATTACTGATGGTCAAAGGCCAAAAAAAAAAAAAAAGAGTCACGCTACATAATACTTACCTCCTGAACAGGCACCAATGTAAAACACACAAAAAACTTTTGAAAGCTATAGACCAATTTGCTGAGGAAATCCTCATCGTTGGAGGAGATTTTACCTTTCACTGGACTTAATCCTCAACATTTTATACAACCACTTACCAAACATCCTCATGCAAACAAATGGCTCATCTTTTGAACCGCTCACGACTGTATGACTGTTGGCGCACCACCCAGCCCAACACAGAGACTTCTTCTTTTCACATGCCACGCAAACATACTCTAGACTTAACATAATCTTTCTCCCACACATATTCCGCAACCTGATCCAATCCAGCCACTATGACTCAATCACATGATAGGATTATTGTCAGAGATATGGTGTAGAAAAGGAAATACATATATAATGTGGGATAAAATGAATACATGCATAATGTTAAAAAAGAACGCAATTTAGCTAATATATCATGAAGTGCTTAAAATGAATTTGTTTTTCTCAAAGTTTTGCATTGTCAGCTTAAAGAAGCAGACAGTGCGTAAATACATCTGGGTAAACAAAAGATAAGAGCAAGAACATGTAACTGGGTTAATTAAAAAGTATTTGTTCTGCAAACACACATACATATTGCTATAAGGTATATAATTATGATTAGTTATATACAAAATAGTAATATAATGTCATATATTCTTAGTTAGCAACATATATATAGGAACCAAAGTCCAAATTGAGAAAGAAAAACGCTGACTAAAGAGTCTTGAAATTAAAACATTCCTACTTGTAGTCTGAACAAGAGTTAATCTTACATATCATAATAGCTGGTAATATTCCATTGCTCCACCTGCTGTTTGAAACATACAGAAATATATGTCAAAATGACGTCAACAGCCATTAGCATAAGACGTGCCCCAAGATTTCCATTGGACCAGGTCAGAAGGTTAACAGATAAGAAATGACATATACCCCATGACAAAGAGATAAAAAAAAATTAAAAATAATAATAATAATAATAATAATAATAAATGCTCGGACAATCTCTTAAAATCCCTTGACATGTGACAACAAATTATAATAATCCATATGCTGATAACTCATATGGTTCTTTATAAATTAACAAATAGTAACATACTATTTGTGGATTGTCTCAATCAATTGTACAGGAGTAAAATATTACATATGCTAACCCTGTTGCTTGAAATTGTCATGGACTAACAATCCAATCACTCTGACAGAGTTTGAAATTGTCTTGTAATACTATACTATGCCATATTTTGTTCAATGTTATTGAAAACTGTTCACTAATTATGTATTAAACAAACACTTACAATAGCTGGAACATATCTGATGATAACTTTCATGTATGTTTACACCTACTGACAAAAATAAATATAATTTTGATTAAAACGTTGTGATAATGTATGAAATATTAAATTCGAACAATGTGCACTAGGCCTAAGAGTTAAAATAGTGAGTAACTCTTTACTTTTAAATTAATAATTGGGAATAGCACCAATAAAATATCAACTTCTGATATTTTAATAAAAATTATTCATTTTAATAATGTTTATGCAAATATTTTTAATAAAAAATTATTATCAATAATTAATCCACATAAATATCCTCACATCATGCACCCCTGTGTTTTGCCATATAAATACCTTCACTGTCAAGGAGATCATTTCAATTAAAACTTAATGATCTCCTCCTAAATGACCCGTAGTATGTCCCATCTTCGGATGTCCTTGCAGAACTATTTCACTGAAAACACATCTTCAACCACCTCTCTTCCTGCTACGTAGGAAGCACATAAATGTGTGCTACATGGAGAGATTATCGCATTAGCCTCTCGACAGAAAAAAAGTTAGAGAAGCTAAAATACATTCCCTCACTACTGAGATCAGAACTCCCGAGGGTATTCATAAACACAATTCCCAACTGAGTGCAAACACGGCTCTTATAGCTAAGCGCTCTGAATTACAAAACTGCTGAATGCTCGAATCAAGAAATCATTCCTACTCACTAAACATTCAAATTACTCCCGGGGGGAGGGGGGGAAATGTGGTCGCTTACTCGCAAATTCTCTAAAAATACAAAGACAGTCTACCTTTATTTCTAAAATTAAGACCCCGACGGGCAACCTGTCCTATAAACTCCCAGACATCCTGGAATCGTTTCACACGTTTTACATTACTCTATACAACCTTAGGGACTCACCACCCTCTGTACAGGACATTAAACAATTCCTCTCCTCCAGAATTGACCAAACTATCCCCACAAACATAGTACCAAGCCTGGATGCCTCGATCACCCAGGAGGAATTTCAATCAGTTATACATCAACTACAGCTGGGCAAAAGATCAGGGCCAGATGGCTATATGGCTAAATACTACAAAACATTCATGACCATAAGAGCCCTTTAAGAAAATATGCAGTTCTGTGGCACAAATCTTCCAGGCCTCCTCCCGGGAGGCACACATGGGGTCAGGAACACAAACATGTATTCCTGACCCTTAAGTGTTAAAACCACAATCTAGCCCCTCTGCCCCTTCATGCCTCCCTAAATATAGTAAAATCTTACTTGTATTTAAGTCTGGAGCTGTTTGCTTTGTCACGGTTTCCTTTTGACCAGCCCACTGCCTGCTGACATCTTCAGAAGTGGTAGACTGATCCAATCACAATGCTTCCCCATAGGATTGGCTGAGACTGACAAAGAGGCAGATCAGGGGCAGAGCCAGCACAATTCAAACACAGCCCTGGCCAACCAGCATCTCCTCATAGAGATGAATTGAATCAATGAATCTCTATGAGGAAAGTTCAATATCTGCATGCAGAGGGTGACACTGAATGTTTGGATGCATTTTAGGCAGCCATGACCCAGAAGGATCTCTAACAGCTATCTGAGGAGTGGCAGTGAATTTATCACTAGGCTCTAATGTAAACCCTGCATTTTCTCTGAAAAGACATTGTTCACAGCAAAAAGCCTGAAGGTAATGATTCTACTCACCAGAACAAATTCAATAAGCTGTAGTTGTTCTGGTGACTATAGTTTCCCTTTAATACCCAAAACCGGCAAAGGCCCCACCGATATCCTTGATAACCTTGGATTTAAAAATCTTTATGAAAATTCGACCCAACCATTTGCGGCCCCTACTTCAAACTCTGATACACCCAGATGAGGTGGATGTAAGCTATCTATTCGTCCCCCACTGCAAGGCTTTGGATTAACGGCAGCTGTCGGATCCGGGAAAAATCTGAAACGGCATGAAACAGTGGTGCCTTCTGTCCTCCCTCTTTTTTTTCCTCATTTTGGAACCCTTTTTAAAAAGTATCAGGGACAACCCTGACATCCAAGGAATTCAGGTACTAAAAAAGGAATATAATATTTCAGCATTTGCCAACTACCTCCTCACCATAGACACCCCCAGTTCTTCTCTTGCCGCACTCCTAGAAGAAATTTCGGCATATAACAAACTCTCAAATTTATAAGTCAATTTCTCAAAGCGTGAAATCTTACCACTACACATAGATCAACCTACATTCGCACACATTCAATCCGCCATCCCCTTCACTTAGGCTGATTAAGCGATCACCTACCTAGGGGTCCGCTTTTTGGCTGACCTGACCTTTTGAACCACTTTTCCAATCCATATCCAAAGACCTGGTGGCATGTCACAAGCCACACTTCAATTGGCTATGTAGGATGAACATCCTCAAAATAAACATATTCCCTAAGGTAATATGAACATATTCCCTGTACCTATTCCAAACATTGCCCATTGCCATATTCAAATAATACTCAAATAATTCTTCATTAAGCTCAGACAACTCTTCACCATCTTCATCTGGGCACATATTCAGAGTCTGGGCTTGCACAAGGGACTCAAGAGACATCTTCCCTCACCCGTCCCCTTTGTTCCCCCTAACACACAACCCACTCTTCCCACCGGGACTCCAGGTGAAATTGTACCAACACTTTCAGCATTTTCCTGACTCACAATACCTCAAACTAGGATCCCTCTAAAACGGAAACACCTTGAGATTCCTCTCTAGTCTAACTGACCTAGATATACCGAACACATTGCAGTCACTCCAATTTGCACAAATAACTCCCTTTTTGGAAGCACATCCCATCCTCCTGAAGGGATCCCGCACTCTTACAGCCTTTGAATTACACTAAGTAAACCCACAATGTCAAAACAAAACAACTCTCAACGTTCTATAAACTCCTCTAGACAGAACAAAGTAGTCTTTTGCCTCCTTTCACGGATTCTTAGGCTACAAATCTTAACATCCAGCTGACGACATTGCAATGGAAAACAATCTTTACACAGATACACACTGCCTCGATATGCAACAACATACAAGAAAGCGGTTACAAAAGAATTTCCAGGTGGCACAACTCTCCATCAAAACTAAACAACCTATTCCCGAATACACCTGACACTTGCTGGAATTGTCATGTGCAGGTAATGGAAATGCACTCAAACCTTCATCCTAGAATCCTGGGTGCAATTGAAACTGGATAAGCCCCAGTACCAATGGGGACCAAACGTCAAATTTGAAAATAGAAAATAATCCAGGCACTCCAAGGTATTCCAACAAATAGGCAATTTTTTTGCACCCAAGCACCAAAGAACAATGTGTCGACCCCTTAGGGCCTTTGTCAAGCTCACAAAGCTTGACGAAGAGCTTGACAAATGCCCTAAGGGGTCGAAACGTTGTTCTTTGGTGCTTGGGTGCAATAAAAATTGCCTATTTGTTGGAATACCTTGGAGTGCCTGGATTATTTTCTATTTTCAAACTTGCTGGAATTGCACCCCGCCTGGGGCATCCCAGCCCACACTTGGTGGCATTGCCCGCTGATCCAGAGGTAGTGGACCAATATAGAGAAAATGATCAAAACAGTGATGGGACTTCACTCCACCATACACCACAGACACTAGTTTTTCTGCTATATCCCTACCCTCTCCCCAAGCCACAATATCTTCTTCTCATGGCCACCTATTCACTCATCCCCACAAAATGGAAAAATCCCAATGCTCCATCCCTCAGGAATGGATTACCAAAGTGGATACAATTGAAACAATGGAAGAAATTCATGCCTCCATCTCTCATAGATATCTACTTTACAAGGCTACATGGGAACCGGGGCCACACTTCAAACCTGCCACAGGGCTGTGATATACATATAGGGAGTCCTGTCTCTACCTCCCTGATTAGCTATAGAACTGCTCAAACTGCTCATGGAATATATCTTCCTTTCTCCTCCCTTACCCACACAAGGGACACCACTTAATACTAGCCCTTCATGTCCACTCCTCTGGCGACCCTACTCCACTCTTATGCTCCCTCACACTGGTGACACTCAGCTGACAATGGTAGACCTGCAACATACAGACCTGGTCATGCTGATCCTGACAGGGACTGTTGGATAGTCTCGACCTCAACACCACGTTTTTGGTTTTTATTTTCAGTATGACTTTTATGGTTTCCCCCTGACGTACCTTACCAACCACAATACAGATCTCTCCCATGTGTTGGCTGTGAAAGATGATGATCAATTGAACCTGTCACCTCATGTTCCCTCAGGTTCCTACACACTACACATTCACCAGAATGCCAGAATGTCACAATATGACTCTTGTTCTTAACTCTGTATAAGCTACTATTATGTGGTGCCTACCTAAAGACCATTCCTGTAAACCTGAATTTGGTATAATGTCTCATCATGTGACTATTCCCCTTTTACTACTGATCTTTGTGACTACAGCCAACCCATATATGTGATTTGACCTAATGACATAGGTATTGTGCACTTTTATATATACAATAAAACTTTAAAGAAATAAATCTATATGATCTTACAAGGTGCTGCTGGCCTTTATTTCATACATGAACTTAATATATAGCACACAAACCCCTAACAAGCATATAAATATGGTCAATGCTTTCATCACCTGCAGTCTGGCCCATTCTCTTACTACAAAAAAAAAAAAACTTGCAGCACTTTATTTGACTTTCCATATAAGCAAACTCTTCTCCTTTTAACCTTCAAATTTCTTTTTGCACCTTTTGTATGTATGCTCATACTAACGGTCAATATTTTCTTTCCTTAAATCAAGACTTCTTCTTCTTAACAATTTCCAGTTATCGCATACAAATATCATGTAGCATGCAGAGTTAGTGTTGCTACAGCTGGCAGCATATAAAACACATGATTACATGGGCAGTATATCAAATGTATTCTGAAATCTGCTAAGCAATTCATGACTACACTCAGAGGTGTCCTAGTTTTCAAGTATTTTATTAGTCAAATAATAATTTGAATTTGTGAACAATGTAATACATTGTATGGCTTTGCATGGCTTCTAAAACTACTTGTACAAATCCATGCTAAAAAATAGATACATCCAATAGGTACATAAAATTACGGAATCTATTTTTGTTTCCATGAAATACCATATTAATGTCATATTATAATGAATTACATTGACGTGATGTTATTATCGAAGGTATGTCTGTGCTAACACATAGAAAAAAGAATGTGCAACCTCCAATGGTGCTAATGAGGTGCCGCCAATCCCTCAATGGGAATGAATCACCCAATTCCACCAAATCAGTACAAGTACAAAAACACAAAACAGTGGGTGGCGCACTCTGCATGCAATCTTTACAAAAGTGTGCCACCCACTGTTGTGTTTTTGTACATGTATGTGCTAAGAACTGCTAAAAATTCTCATACAAATGCACATCAGAGTAGTACAAAAATAAAGTAAAGCAAATAGTGCTGGGTAATAATACATTTATAAATGTGGCACATTCATTAAAATGTGTTTATACAAAGTTTCCAAATTTAAACTCCAAGAAAATTCACTTTACTAAAGACGTAAAAAAAAAAAAAAAAAAGGCCCATTTTTAATGTATTATATAGTTTAATGCAATAAAAACATGCAAAACAAATACAACAAAACGAAACCATAAAGGTTCCCGGTCAAATTACTTTTTAGTTGCCCTGAACTAGGAGCAGACCCCTTCCTAACCAAGAGAAGACCTGCAGCAAGACCAGATTTCCCACAAGCCACAGCCTCCAGGAGAGACATGGCCAATGTGGATTTGCCACACACAGTCTTTCCAATTTTGACAACCATCCCCTGTCAGTGTCCTTATAAATACACTGTACAGCCCCCTGTCAGTGCCCCGTGTCCCTCTGCTACAAGCCCTTATGACTAAGCCCCCTGGCCATCTACATGTCTCATAAAAGTATTCCCATGCTGGACCCTAGCCGTTGAAATGTATTGCAGAGTCTGGAAGGTGGAGCGATACCTGCTGTACCGCCCCTTGTGGGGGAACTTTGTAAATTCACTGGTTCTTGTGGTCTGGGTGCTCTGATGTGGATATGGCAGCGACAAACATGCTCTCTTGGTGTCCTTCTGCTGTCCATCTCGAGGCTACTCCCTCAAGCATGATGCAGAGCAGCCTGGTGGGGCTTGGCTCGAGGCTTCAGGTAAATACAGCCCTGATACCATGGATAACAACAAAAAGCCTGCTTGTAATGGGAAAGTTCTACTGCAGCAACAGTTTTCAGACTGAAGACGTGTCACTTGTGATAAACCTCCAGCTAGAGAAACAGAATGTTTCGCTGTTGATCTCCATGATTGACCCTAAACCCCCAAGCTAAATTTAACTGTGCATAGAGGTTGTCACTAGGTGTCCTAGATATGACTTTGCCACCTGATCCCTTAATGTTTAACCCTTGGAGTGCCTATGCACTGTGCTGACTATCATCTATTTAATTGCTATTGATGGGAGTAAAGTGGAATACCCCTATCAATCCCAAACACACACTATAACTCATATCCCGCCCCCTACACACACACACATACACAGTGCAGCCCCAATGTCTATCCCCTCACACACACTACAGCAACAATCCATGTCCAATCCATGTCCATCTAAACACACCCTACAACTCCTATCACTCTAAAAACACACAAATCCCCTTCTCACATTAGCACCTATTAGCACCACAAATGGCTCCATCCACACACAGAACCCCACAACAGATTTCCTCTGTTGAGACTAATCCACTTTAAGCATTTCCCAAGTAAGTGGATTAATCTCATAAGAGCAGGTTGCTAGTATAGGACCTGCCAAACATGGGGTACATTGTTGTTGTGGCATGTATGATTATATACTGTAACTAAACCCCTATTAATTTTTGCCTAGATCTTATATATATATATATATATATATATATGTAATGGGGGCAGGGGGACATTGAGGAAAGGTGCCTTGGGGTAGCAAGGATGGTAAATCTGAGCCTGCCGGCAACCAAGAGTGTATCATTCTGGTCTATAGATCCTCTTCTCCCAAAATGTCTTATGTCCAGCAGAGATTTATAGAATGTGTAGTTTAATCTCAAAAAGCAGTTGTACTCTTCATATAAGATGAGTGGAACTGGTATAAAAACTTATATCAATCATATATTAACTACAATCATTTTACACAAAAAAAGGTTCAATATTGAGTGTGAAGCTATCAGCAGTGCCCTTACTTAGTGTCTCTGCCCTTTCTTTGGAACAACCTTAAACACAATTAACACAAGAGACTCTCATTCCTTGCTGCCTGTTTCACAGGTTAGGCAGGCTCAGAGCGACAGAGATTTTTACAAAGCTGCTTTAGTTCTAGGCCACCATTAGAACTGAGAGTTGTAATAATGTCAAGTTGTAATGGTGATTAGTGTGACCCTTAAAAATAAATATTTTGGCATTTTACCACAAATATTTTTATTTAGTTTTTTGATACTAAATGTACCTGGAGCTTATGTTTTACGGTCCCAAATTCTTAGACTTGGATATAAGCCTCACTCTTCCTTTCATGTAAGAATTGTAATGGAAGACTTTTATACATGATAAATATTTGTAGTATTTCCTATGTTGATAAGTGCATTTCTTTCTGGTCATATTGTGCAAGCATAAGCTTTAAAAAATCATGCCACAGTGAACATTATATTAACTTCAGTGAAGTGCATTCCTTGAAGTTTAAGACTGGAAACTTTCTAACACATCAGTTAGATGATCAGCTTACATGTTGTGCATACACATGATAAATTGATTGGGCTATTTTTAAATCAGTAGGAATACTGCTGTTGAGTTAGCATTAAATTAGGATTAAAGGGATACTATAGGCATTTAAACTACTTTAGCTTAAGAAAGCAGTTTTAGTGTATAGAGCATGCACCATTTTTGTAAATCAATTTAGTTTCTGTTTATGCAACCCTGCCCACACCTCCAGTGGCTGGGACTGCATGAAAAAAAAGTTGTAATTTTCTATCAGATGTTAACTTTCTTAACAGTAAGCTCCTGAGGTTAACACAGTAAAGGAGTTTAAGCATGCGTGGGATAGGCATAAGGCTATCCTAACTATAAGATAAGGCCAGGGACTAATGAAAGTATTTAGAAAATTGGGCAGACTAGATGGGCCAAATGGTTCTTATCATCTGCCGTCACATTCTATGTTTCTTTAGAAGTTATCTCCTGTCAATTAAACGTTAATCACACACAGGAGACTCCTGCTGCTTCTAGCAAGCTAACCGAGTACAAAATAAGTAATTTTAAACTTTTTTTTTTAACTGGCTGACGGACTGCCTGGTACCCCGACTGGGTACCTCTGTCAAGCACGCTTCCTATCTCTCCTCTGGGACACGAGTCCTTCAGCTTGGCTGGGGT